TCCTTACTTCAGGGAAACGGCGGCCATGGTAAGAGGCAAATTCTGCAGTGGCTGCAGAGGCCTGTGAGCACAGGGGGACCCTGCACTGGGAACAGCAGCTGGAGTTTTCTACACATGGGGAAGGGAATTCCCAGAGGACTCCATCCTCAACACAGATGATTATTCTGCAGTCTCCAGCAAAAATCTGCTTTGGGATTTATGTTGTTGCAGCTCTTCTGGCTGTGAGGATGACCTGAAAATGTGAACGAATGAAGTAGCTCTAATGTTGAAAGAAAACCCCAAACCATCCCCAAATCCCACCCACAAATCCCAACAAGTTTTCTGAAGGAGTTTCTAAAAGAGGTTTTGCAAGATGATCACCCCCCTGATTCTTCTCACTGGGAAACTTGTCTAAAACCTGAAGATGATTGCTTAACATCCCCTTTAGAGTCTAACATATTTCTTTCCTAGTCCAAGCTACTTTCTCTTTGGCACCAATCCTGAGCTTTCAGCAACACAAACCTCCTGTGTCTTGCCTGGCAGTTTTTGGGACAAGGCATCAGGAATGCATCTACTTGAGTGTCAGTGGCACTGCAGAGATGCACTTGATGTAAGAATCCTCTGAAATAACACAATATTTCTGATGGAGGTTCCAACGAACAAAGTCAGCCAGTGAAACTGGCTCTCAAGGCGAGATCATTTGGATGTTGTGATGGCTGTGGCAGCCCCAGGGTTTGGGGTTTTTGGCTGGCATAGCAAAATGAGCTGTGAGCAGCATCTGTGGCAGGGAGGAAAGTGCCCCTGGAGCTGGGGCTGAGGCCCTGGGGTGGATGTGAGCCCGTGTGGGTGTGAAGGGAGCTGGCAGAGCGCTGAGTTTGCTTTCCCTGCAGGCTCGCGCTCTGATCCGGCAGAACGGGACCCCGCAGCTGCAGGAGCCCCGGCGCCTGTCGGCTCTGCTGCGGGACTTCCTCGAGTGCAGCCTGGAGACGGACGAGGAGCGGCGCTGGGCTGCCCAGGAGCTGCTGCAGGTGAGGGCCAAGGGCTGCAGGAGAAGCAGCAGCGCCAGGGAAGGGTTTTCTTGTGGGGCCCCCTCCGACAGTCTCCAGTCTGGCTGCGTTCCACACACAGAGCAAGCAGAATCCTCGCCTGCTGTGGCTTGGCAGGCTTCTTTGGAGCTCATCTGGGCCTGGTGCCCCACAGCGAGCAGGGACATCTTCAAGCAGCTCAGGGGGCCCAGAGCCCTGCCTGACCTGAGCTTGGATGTTTCCAGGGAGGAGGCACCTCCCACATCTCTGGGCACCTTCTGTCACTGTTTCCCCACTCTGCTGGTTAAAAAATTCTTCCTTAGATCTAATCTGAGCCGGCTTCCCTCTCCTGAGTTTCAAACCATTTCCCTTTGTCCTGTTGCAACAGAGCCTGTGAGGAACTTGACTCTGGAAAGTAACAGTTCATTTCTTTCCTCTTTATCCTTTTGGCAGCACCCATTTTTATCATCAGCCAAGCCTCTCTCCAGCCTGACACCTCTGATCACTGCAGCAAAGCAACTGAGGGAGCAGCGGAGGAGATGAAGCACTTGAGGGCAGCTTCTTGTTACAGTAGTTGGGTCAACTAGGTAGTTATGGTAGTTAGCACTGTTAGTTGGTTATGGTAGTTAGCACTGCTAGTTGGTTAGGGTAGTTAGGATTGCCTGTTTGTTATGGTTCTTATGACAGCCTGTTTGTTCTGGCAGTTTTTTGAATAAAAACTCTCTTAACCCTCAACTGCCTTGCCATGTCCCTTCCTTCTCCCGCTGTACCTCAGCTGCCCGGAGCAATGTGAGGGGAGAGCAGGCCCAGCCTGGCCCAGAGCTGAGCCCCAGCAGAGCCCTGGCAGAGCCCAGAGCAGCCTCGGCACTGCAGAGTCAGCCTGGAAGGAGGCGCTTGGAGCCTTCTCGGCTGCACCCGGCTCTTGGTTACAAACTGGGTGTGCTGGAAAATGCCACCGGCTCTGCACGAGGGCAGAAGGGGCCCGGGGAAGACCCAAGTGCACCATGCAAGGGGAAAACTTGCCCTGGGTTTGTTATAAATAACTAGGTAGTGTTGCTTTTGCTATTATGTATTGACTTCTGCAAAGTATTCTTAATTACAACAATTTTGATGCAGTACAGTTTGTAATCACTTTTAACTGCTTTTGCTATAGTATAACATGTCAGCTTTTTGTGGCCAATGCCCTGGCCCCTGTGTAGCTCATATCCTCAGAACATCATTTATGGATGATATTTTAGTTTGCGAACAGCGTGAAAAACATACATTATAGTTTTGGCTTTTGCAAAATATTAAAGTGGATGCCAGATGTTGTGCATTAGAATGTTAACTTTTGCAGAAGTAGCTGTAGTTGTGAAATAATAACTAATGCTTTTATTTTTCTAACTAACTGACAATAATAACTCAGAGATAGTTGTGAAATAGCTAATGTTCATTTAAAGGACTTGTGGAAATAGCAAAAAGCGTCTGCATGGTCAGATAACATTTAAGGAAGGGATGTGATGAGGAGCCCTGCCACTGACCCTTCCACTGTCAATAACTGTCACCTGCTGAAACCACAGAACAGGGGGCCCTTATGAGGGAGTGACACACAACCCTCAAAACAACAATCCACGATTCCTGCACCTACTCTAAAAAGGCGAGTTGGGGGTAAAACCAACCTAAAGAATTCCTGGAACACGTAAACAAGTTAAAAGAAATGTTTGAATTACTATAATCATTATGAATATGTATTTGACCAATGCAGGGGGAAAAGGAGATAAGAAGAGTTGCTGTGGTTAACAGGTGTGCCTCAGGCCATCGCCAAGCACCAGTGCTGTTATTCATGTGTCTCTAGTTACCCCTTATTAAAATTCTAAAAATTCTAAAGCGTGAGGCTCCTTTCTCACAACACCCAAGGTCCTCACCCCTTGTTGTTCTCCCAAGGCAGGATCTGTCAATCATAAAGTTTGTCTTGATGGAGAAGAAAAAGACTGCAAAGAAAAGGAAAATGCATTGGTGTGGAGGCCCATGGGCCTACCATTAGAGTTTAATCAGCCACCCGTGGAGGACTGGTCCCCAATAAGAGGAATAGATTTCAAGGTTATGGTGAGAAGCTTGCTTCTCCCACAGATCTTTGCAGGCACATGCTCATTTATGTAAAGTTATGTTACCCCATTGGCCCATTGGCCTAATTACCCTAGTTCAACCCCTGTTACCCATCCCTGGTTAGTCCCTAGAAAATTCTCCTCTCTCTGTCCCTCCATTGGCCCTAATTTACTGCATTCCTCTGGCCCTGTTTCCCTATTAGCTGACCCGACCCTTAACCCCTCCTTTGCACCATTTTCCCCCCATATCCATTGGACCCTGACCCTCAGCTCCACCCTCACTACCCCATATAAAAACCCCCTGTGCCCTCAGCTTGCACCCTGTCTTTGTGCCTGGGCCCTGTTCAGCTCTGTCCCCTGTTCCTGTACCAATAAACCCAGTTTGCTGAGATCATACCCAGATCCATCCTGCCGACTTTGTCAGCTTCATAAAGCAGCCGTGAGCTTCGGGCTCCGCAGTGCCGGACACTCCAAGGGCCTCGGCAGCGCCAGGATGCTCCAGACTGGGACAGCCAGGTAGGGCAGGAGGAATCACTGCCCCTTTCCCCTCTCTGCTGCTCCATCTCCAAGCCCAGCATTGCTGCAGGACAGCCTCACTGCCAACGCCATCCTGCCAGGGATGGACGGGGGGGATCTCCTTCCCCTTCCCTCTGGCATGGAGGCAAATCCCATCTTCTCCTTGTCCGCCCTCCTTCTTCTCCTCATTCTGTCACACATCCATCCATGTTCCTTTCCCATCTCCTTCCCTTGTTCCTTCCTCTCCTTCTGCCTTTTTCTTTTCCTTTCTCCCTGTCTCTTCCTCTCCTTGTCAGTCTGTGGAGCTGTGAGGAGGTAAAACCCTCCCTGTGCTGGGAAGGCTGTGGGGAATGTGAAAAGAGCTTCAGGCAGAGCTCAGCCTATTTGTGGCGCCTCTAAAGATGGCAGTGTCAGATGCAGATATCCGTGGGGGTGCAGAGATCCCCCTACAGATCAGTGGGGATCCAGAGATCTCCCTGCAGATCCATGGGGATGCAGAGATCCCCCTGCAGCCCCCAGAGCAGCCACGCTTCAACACAGGGATGCCTGAGAGGAGGCTGTGACCCCGCGGCCAGAGGGCCCCGCTGGAGCAGCCTGTCCTGGCAGGACTGACCCCGGGGCACAGTGACCCACGCTGCAGCACTTGGAGGGGGCTGTGCCCCGTGGGATGGACTCAGCTTGGAGAAGTTCCTGGAGAAGTCTCCGGTGGGAGAGAGCCCAGGGTGCAGCAGGGGAACGACTCCTGTCCCTGAGCAGAGGGAGAAGCCCCGGGGCATGAACTGAGCCCGGCCCCATTCCCTGTCTGCGGCACTGCCGGGGCAGGAGGCGCAGCTGGAAGGAGGGAGGCGTGGGGGAAAGCTGGATTTAAGGGTCTCCACTTACTTCTCATTATCCTGCTCTGAGTTTTTCGAGTTCTCTGTCAGAAATCTCTCCCCTCCCCCACTCATCCACACAGGTTTTGAGCCGTTTTTCCTTTTTGAGGGAAATCAAAGCGATGCACTGATGCTCCTAATTAGGGGTACGAGAAGTGAGGCTCCAGGGCTTCCCGCTGAGTCGGAGCCACCGAAGCCGCAGCGCCGGGAAAGCCGTGGGGGGAGCTGCGGAGAAGTTTGTTTGTGTTTTCAGCTCAATCCCCCTCGGGCCCGGGCCCGTGCCCGTTCCAGGGCTGCTCCTCAGCTCCGGCTCTGCCCTCACGCAGCCCAGGGGGCCCGGAGAGCGAGGGGAGGGGCTGTGCCGTGTGCAGAGCCCGGCCCTGGCTGGGATTGGGCGATGGTGCCGTCAGTCGTGGTTGTGGCGCGCTGATTGGTGGGAGCGGGGCGGAGCCGGGCCCCGGTGGCGGGCTGAGGGCGGCCGTGGCTGGGCAGCGGCGCCATTGTCGGAGCGTGTGTGCGGGCCTGTGAGCGGTGGCAGCGGCCGGAGCGCGGTGAGGCGGCGGCGGAACTCGGAGGCGGCCGCAGCGCAGGTGGGAGCCGTGCTGGGTTGTGCGGGGGCTCGGGGCTGGCTGCGGGCCTCGGGGGCGGCAGGGGGCTCAGCCGAGTTCGTTGTGTCGTGTCCGGCCCGTGTTGCCGCTGGCGTGAGGGCGCTGCGGGAGCGGCTGCCCGCGGTCTCCTTGCGGCCGCTGCCTCGGCAGGAGCCGCTGGCGGAGCAGCGCTGGCTCGGCCCGGTTCCTGTGACTGGGACAGAGGGGGCTGCCCCGTGCCCGGGGCTGTGCGGGGAAATTCCCGTGGCCGGAGATTTCTGTGCGCAGAGGAGACAGAGGAGTCCTGTAAAAGTCACTTTATTGCTGAGCAGAGGGAGAGGCCGTGGGGCATTTGCTGTGCGGTCTCTGCCGTTGTTGTAGTTCGCAGCCTCCTTTTTGTCCGCATTTTCCCGGCCTCATCTCCCTCTCCCTTTGCCCACTGGCTGAGGTACTTGGAAGGTTCAGACCTCCCGATCCGCCAGCTGCATGTCCTCGTTAATGTGCACCCCCACTTATGCAGAACAGCCGATATTCACTGCTCTGTTAAGTCTTTGTTCTTCTGGAAGTTCAGGAATCTAACAGAACTTAGTCTGAGCAGTCCATGTTAATTAGTAAAATTTTTTGAAACTGATGGTTTCTCCCTTCCTTGTCTAAAAGTCCATGACCCAATCTCCAGACAGATTCACTCAGTGAATTTTTTTTTTTCCCTTACTAAGTCTTCTTAGGTTTTGGGATTATTCTCAGTGCTCTCATTCCCTGTTTTTCTGTAGCCGTTTCTGGATCAGGAGGCCTGGCTGCCACCTGCATCCCCTCGCTCAGCTGCTGAATGAGCTGCACTCTCAAGGTGTGGAGCATGGTAAAAAGATGAGAGTTGCTATAGCACATGAGAGGAGAAACAGCATTTGTTTAACCCATGGTCTGCCAGGGAGCCACAAAACTGTGTCCCATTGCCAACCTTTCCACGTTTGGGCTGGAACATGAGCTGCTTTTTTGTTTCCTTTGTTTTCTGTTTCAGCACTTTTCCTTTGTGATCTATTTGCCAACAGCAGTTTGAGTCATTGAATTTTCCAGAAACTCCTTTTTCTGCTAAAGATGATCTGATCCCATCCTATGGTTTAGTGTTGTGTTCCTCATTTCAGTGGATTGGTCAGCAGGAAGGTCAGGAGCTGGATCTGTCTGGTTGGTTATTATTTTGAAATCTAATGATGCCATGGAAATGAGAAATGGGTACTGTGGCTCCTGATATGAATTGGTTCGGGTTCCCAGGGGCTGGTCCATGGTGTTGTAGGATTTGTTCTGGTGGGTGTTTATGTTTTTCCCATTGTTTGCACTTCCTCAGGAGCCAGGGCTGCATCAATTGGCCAATTTTCTGTAATTTAAACATCAAAAACCTGGGTTCCCAATTTCTTTCCTGAACTTGTGGTAGCAACACCCCCCATGCTGCAATCCACCCTATATAACACAGACAGTGACAGCACGTGTTGGAGTGGGCAGAGGGATGATTCCCCCCCACTTTTTAAAGTGAAGTTTTCTCAACATTTTCCATTTGCTGTTTCCCTTTGCAGCTTCACTTGTTTCTGTTGCAGGGTCAGATATCCTCCCCCTGGGCTCTGCCTTGAGCTGTTCAAATTCCATCAGTGCAAGCAGGCGGAGCTTGGGGTGAGGAGCAGAGGGAATCAGCCCAATTCCTGCCCCAGGCAAGAGACCCAGGTACATTGTCCACACTTTGCCCCAGGAGTGTTCGTTTCCATTTCTAAAGCTCCTCTCAGGCTGATTAGAACCAAAGCTTCTCTTCCAGGGCAGTAACCTGGTGACTCCCCTCTTCCTTTCCCACCGACCTTCTTTTGCCTTTTTTTGATGCCTGTTGTTTTTCCTTTTTTTAAACACTATTCTGTTAACTGTTTATGAGTTAAAGCATTGCATTTCAAACTCTTCTAGTTTTTCCAAATGCATCCTAAAGGTGAGCATGGAGAAACCCAGACCAAAATTTTGCCATCACTAAGAGACACGCACACACATACCCAAAAAGCCTCTACTTCTCCTCAGAATAGAAAATGATTCTGACACCCCTGACCCAAACCCTACTGACCAAAGAAGGATTATTAAGAAAAAAACCATTCTAATGTTGTAATCTTATCACCAAAATGGTGGGAAGAGCCAGAGCTCTCCAACATTTCCAGTGTTAAAAAGTCAAGGCATTACTTCATTCTGGCCAGGATGTGCAACAGAAATCATTTCACCCACACATAGCCCGGGTGTGCAGAGAAAATTGTTCAATGACACATGAGTTTTACTGGATTTTTCCTAAACTTTATACCATCCAAAACCCACAGAAATCCACTGGTTTAATGTTCATTGCTTCCAAGTTGTGTAGTTTTTAGTATTTGGTTTCTCATTGGACCTGCATTTTTCCCCTCTGATGTAAATTAGATCCACAGTCCTGGATTGCCTTCTCAGCCTTTTCCAGACCAGGTGTCTCCAGCTCTGCCGGGGACAGTGTCTGGGGTAGCTGATGGTTGTGTCACAAGAATATATTGAAGCTTTCCTGCTCAGGGCATTTCAGTGCCAGGCTCTCACAGGCACCCACAGCTCCGCGGGTTGAGGTGAGCATGGGGCGGTGACCTGCGCTGTGTCTGATTCCCCTTCCTTAATAACAGCCTGTCTTGTAGCTCTTTTCCCTTCTGCTGCCCTTGCAGAGCCATCCACAAACACATTTTCTCCCTCAGGCCAGGCAATGTCCCATCAATCTGTCCCAGCCTGGGTCTGGAGCTCTGTCCCTTGAGTGCAGTCCTGGGTTCCTTGCCAGCCCCTCTCCAGACTGTTCAAACAGGAGGCTGGGTTAAACCCTTGCCCTGTCCTCAGTTCTAAATCCTCCTGTGCCACTGAACAAGTTTCATACTGTAATATCTGAGCCCCGCTCATCCATTTAGAGGCTCTTTTGGTTGTCAAAGCTTTACCTTGATGCCAGACATGAACTATAGGAGATCCTCCTGTTGTCATCCGTTTTCAGCTCTCAGTTCCCATGTGAGCTGTGTCTGCACAATTCTGCAGACAATGAAGTCAATCTCTGGCCACTGGGTTAAACATTTTAACACAAGAATTCCTTTGCCATGGCCCTGTTTAAAATCCACCTATAATTCAAATTGTTTCTCCCTGTCTAGGAGGGCCAGGGCAGGAGCCTCAGTTAATCTGCTTTTTCACATTTGAAAATTCTGTGATTCCTCCTTATGTCCATTCCTCCAATTTGTTGACTGGAGTGCTGTAGGGAGTGATGCCTGGCTCCAAAACCCTGTCTTTAACAGGGAGTGAATAATAAGCTGTAAGCCCTTCCTTCCCTCTCTTGGAATAGGGTATTGATTTTAAATCAATACAAGCAACCTCTTTTCCTTATTGCTTCAAAGTAATTTGATGAGGCTCCATAGCTAATTTCCCCTCTTTCCCTGGGACTGCCCACATTTGTGGGTTCACTTCAGCGTAGGCCTTGCCAGACATTTGACACAAAAGTTCAATAACATAAGCCTCTGTATGACCTTTTACAATATCAAAATCCAGCCACCAATTCCTTCCCAGTAAATTGTAATCAGAGTAGGAAGAAAAAGAAATTCATTTATTTCAAACATATCCCCTACATCTCCTAATAGTGGTTGATTAAATCATACCTGCTCATCTTTCCCACTTATTCCCTTAACAATTAAACTATGCCTTTACTGTTTTGCCCATTAGGTCTAAGATTCAGAGTGGATTGAGAGGCTCCTGTGTCCATCAGGAAATGCCTCCTCTCAATGCAGACCCACCCTGAATGTTCTCAAGGGCTCCAGTGTGGAGGGTCCCTGGTGTGATGGGAGCTGTGACAGCCCTGCCAATCCATGTCCATCAAGGGGTGGACTTGCTGGTCCTGAGGGTGCTGCTGTCTGTGCTTGCAGTGTCCTTGTGCCCTGCAGCTGGAGCCCTGGTTCCTTGCCAGGGGCTGTTTGGGTGGGCTCTCCCCTGCCGAGGAGGGCAATGCCTCTGCCAGGTGCTTGTGGCCGAGCCGTGCCCTGGGTGCTGGGGCCCCCTTGGGCCCTGGGGTTGATCCCTCAGGGGCTGTAGGAACTGTGCCCTGGCCTTTGCCTTCAGCTTGGCCTTTTGCTGCTCCCTTCTTGCATTCACCTGCTGTGCCTTTGTGCCCAAGTGCTGCAGGGCCTTCTTGTGCCCCTCCTGCAGCCCCCTCAGTGCCTGTGGGTGCTCATCCTCGACAGCTGCTGAGCTTTATGCAAAATCTTTCGTATCCCCAGTGACCCAAACAAAATCCTTAAAAGAAAATCCTGATCCTTCCATGTACAATCCGCCTTTCCCAGGTGTTCCTTGCTCCTCCTCCCTGTGCTCAGGGTGCCCTCCCCAGCCCGTATCCCAGAGCCTCTCCCTGTCCTGCCGCAGTGTCCAAAGGCGCCCCCGGCGGGCAGGGCCGGCAGCTCCACGGGGCCGGGCAGCGGCTGGGGCGTCCCGCAGCCTCCTGGGGGCCGGGGGCCGCTGCCGGCCCTGCCCGGGGCTGGTGGGGTCAGGCAGCGCCCGGCGCTGAGCCCCGGCTGCCCCACAGCCCCGGCCCGGCCCCGCAGCTCCCCACAGACCCCCAGCCCGTGCTCCTGGTGCCGCAGCTCTGCGCCCGGTGCTGGCGCTGCCGCCCACAGAGAAACCCCCTGAAACCCTGACCTCCTTGTTTTCCTCTCCTGGAAACCGGGGATACAAATGATCAACTGGCAAATATTGAGGTTAAGACCCTGTTGAAAAACATCCCAATCCTCAGTATTTTTCTCTTCCTCCTCTTTTCTTTTTCTTACCACATAGAATCGTCCTGCTGCTCCTTGCCTTAACCATATTGCTGCACACTCCCCTTCACCCAGTCTCTTCCCAGCACACCAACACCATCCATCCCCTGTTGTCTAAATCCCTTCTCCACTTCCCTTATTGCCCCTCTGGGTATCCATGTCCTTAATTACCTCTGGGGGAATGTGCACACTCCCTCAACCTTCTCAGAAGGAACCCTTCAGAGATAGTTTGGGATCATCGTCCCTTTGGCACAGGACCCCTTCCCGGCTTTCTCTTCTCTACCCTGCATGGGTGCCCTGCCATGTTCACTCCCCAAAGATCCCAGTGCACTCACTGATGAGATTTTCAGTGCTCTCTCCCTGCTGACTCTTCAGAGCCTCCCCTGATGTGTCACTCGTCTGTCTCCTGGTCACTCTCGGGTACCCAATCAATCCCTGGTGCTGCTGCCCCCCAAGGGAGCCGATCACCCAAAGTGGGTGAGGCACCTTCAGTTGCACTCCGCCACCCTGGATGGTGGAAGGAATTCTGGATGAGTCCAAAGGTATGTGGAAATAAGGTGGGATTGTACAGGAGGAGGAGTTGTAGGAGGAAGAAGAGGAGGAGGAGGAGCAGAAAGAGGCGGCACCACATGGTTCTACTCCCCTCTGTGTCTGCAGCCCCCCCCCCAGCCCCAGGAGCTTTGTGCCCCTATATACCACAGGTGACCGAGGGAGGGGGAATCCATGATTTTAACCAGGGTTTAATCTTGATGTTTCTGAGCTTTATTGGGCAAATGTTGGTACTTTTGTTTTTTGTGAGGGCTGAATATCCGTATTTTGGAGGAGGTTTTTGCTGAATATTGACATTTGGGAATTTTTTAATCTGCACCTTGATGTTTAGAGGATTTTTGTGCTGAATCATGGTGTTTTGGAGGTTGTTTCAGACACAAGATGCCCAGTGACTTTCCCAGATGAACTTGGGCACGGAGGTTTTCCCAGTCCAAGCTGCTCTCCTCTTGACTTTTTCCCTAAACCAGGATTTTTCATTCCCAGGGCGTGGTGTGATGGAGGAGGAGGAAAAGCCCCAAATGTACCTCATGAAGAGGGGCAGCAAACCCTGCCCAGGGAGCTCTGGGGAGGAAAGAGCCCCTGTGAGCCAGGAATGCATCCTGCAATCCAGCCAGAGCTCAGAGCTGGTGAAGAAACCTCATGTCAGGGAGAAGCCACACAGATGCTTGGAATGTGGGAAGTGTTTCAGCTGGAGCTCCACCCTGAGGCAGCACCAGGTGATCCACACTGGGGAGAGGCCCTTTGAGTGTGAGGAGTGTGGGAGGAGTTTCAGCCACAACTCTGTCCTGATCCAACACCAGGTGATCCACACTGGGGAAAAGCCCTATGAGTGTGGGGAATGTGGGATGAGCTTCAGGCAGAAGGGCTACCTGGTGCAGCACCACATGATCCACACTGGGGAGAAGCCCTTTGAGTGTGGGGAATGTGGGAAGAGCTTCAGAGGAAGCTCGGCCCTGATTCGGCACCAGGTGATCCACACGGGGGAACGGCCCTACAGCTGCTTGCAATGTGGGAAGAGCTATGGGTGGAACTCTGACCTGAGAAAACACCAGCACATCGACACCGGGGAGAAGCCCTACGAGTGTCCTGTGTGTGGGAAGAGGTTTCACAGGAGCTGCGATCTCCTCAAACATGAGCGGATTCACACGGAGGAGAGGCCCTTCCGCTGCCTCGACTGCGGGAAGGGCTTCAAGCAAAACTGCAAACTCACCATCCATCGGCGCATCCACACTGGGGAGAAACCCTACAAGTGTGGGGAGTGTGGGATGAGATTCTCACAGAGCTCTCACTTGACAGAACACCAATGGAGGCACCACTGAGGAAAGCCCTGCGAGTGCCCCAAGTGTGGGAAGAGCTTTGTGTGCTGCTCCAGCTCCATCCCCCATGAGAGGATCCACATTGGATGATCCCCAGTGACCGTTGTTGGGCAGAGCCCTGGTGATCCATGGTCCTGGTGATCTGTGTTGGGAAGACACCTGGCTTGGAGGCTTCACATCTTTCTGGTTCCCTGTGGGCAGCTAGATAAATGCAGCAGCAGGAACATCCATTGGGACACAGATCAACAATGGGAATTCCTTGGGGAGAGCAGATTTGTCAACTTTCAACCCCATAAAATCTTTTGTGTTCAATCCTCTCTGCTGCTGACATCAGGGAGTACTGAATGGTGTTGAAGTTATGTTCAGGGCGGACTATATGATGCTTGGATCCCCAGTCTGTTCTGTTTATGCTGAATAATAAGTTTTGTACCTTTAGGACTTGTCCTGAGAGTGAAAGGAGGAGAGAAGCAGCGTGCAGTTTGTTTTCAGACTCGGCACTCACTCCTCCACATTCCTGCTCCTGTGCTGTGTTGTCTGCGGTTGGACAAACGGCGAGACAGAGCTCTCCCTTGCTTTTAGTTAGTTTTAGCTAGCTGAGGCAAAGAAGTTCCCTGGACTGTGGGGTTTTTTCCCTTTTCTTTGGACCTGTTTAAACCTGCTCTGGCCTGAACACCCAGGGGAGCACCGGCAGCTCACACCTGTGGCCCACCAGGCCGGGCCTGGGCCATTGCATTTCCAGCACCAGAGGGACTGATAAGAGACTGAGTGAGCCAAGCTACAGCCCATAGAGGGGCTTTCTGAGTTTGTCTCTCTTTTAGAACAGCAAGAGGTTTAATTGTTTAATATTGTTTAGGTTTTATTGTGTAATAAAGTGTTTTTTCCACTTTTCTTCAAGAAGGTATTTTATTTTTCCTGAACCAATTGGGGGAGGGGCCAATTCAATCTGCTGTCTAGAGGAACCCCTTTGGGAGTTCTCTCCCAAATTTGCCCTGAACCAAAGGACAAGGTCTTTTCCAACTTCAGGGATTCCACAATTTTGATTTCCTTTTGCCTGAGGGTCTTCCATAGCCAAATGGTGCAAAACTGGGGAAAAGACCAAGATTTTGGAGACAGTAGGATAGGAACTCCACCAGAAAAGGTTCTTGCCTTCTACCTAAGCATGTGGATTCTCAGCCAGCATGGACACTGAAATCCTATTATTATGGCCTTGGTTTTCTTTTAATTTCTCTTCATCCCTTTAAAATATCTAATCTTGAGGTAAAAGAAGACATTGAACTAAGACATGGGTGTGGTCATGGAACAACACAGATATGGTGGGACACAGACATGGAGAGTGACATAGGGAGACATGGACATGGAGGGGGCCATAGCCATTCATGGGGACATGTGTGGACACGGGCATGGATGGAGATGTGGGGAGCAATGAGAGGGATGGAAACATGGTGGGGAGACAGGCATGGGTGAGGACATGGTGGGACATGGCCAGCGACATGTGGGGACATGGCCATGGCCAGTGCCATGGGGGAAACTTATAGGGCATGTGGGGGATGCTGGGTTTGAGGGAGTTGAGGGTTCCTGGGAGGGACCTGGGGCTTGCTGAGGCCTTTGGGGACCCCAGGCCAAGTGGCTCTCGCTCTGCTTGGAGACCCGGGGGGAGGTTCTGGGGCAGCTGCTCAAGGACCCCCTGACCTGAAGCCCCAGCCAGGCATTGGGCTCCTGCAAGGGGATGAACGTCCTTGTCCTCAGGAGGGAAATCCCAGCACCACCAGGGTGTCAGGGGCAGCTGAGAGACCACGGCAGGGAGGGGAAAGCCAGAGAGAGCTGTCATACTTCTAAGCTACACCCCACAAGTCCCAAAACTCAGGGATTCCTCCCAGGAAAAAGCATCCAGGACCTGCCATAATTGAGGGAAAGAGGGGATGTGGTCCCTTGAGACTGAGCAGGAGGGGCCTGAATCCCCCAAAACCAAACACAGGGACGAGAGGTGGAACTGAAGGCACGATGGGAAAGGGGTAGGAGTGCAGGCGAAAAGAGGATTCAAAGTGGGAGATGGATGGGATCCCCAAATTGAGTTGGGAGGGATCTTTAGTTTGGGGGAATGATGGGAGATGGGAGGAAAAGGTGGGGATGGAACAGAAAAAGGGCAGTTCCATGGGGATCCCTTTGTGTTCCCCACTTGATCCCTGAAGTGACTCCCTGGAACTCTGGGGAGGGATGGATCCCCACTGGGGTTCCCTCCACCCAAATGCTGCAGCCATGGAAGAGAGAAGGGTGTGAAAAGAAGATCTGGAGTGGGCAGGGAGGAGGAGCAATAGGAAGAGGAGGGAGAGAGGAGGCGGAGGATGGGAAAAGAAAGAGCAGGAACAGGAAGAGGAGGAGCCACAGCAGAACCCCACAGTTTTCCCGCTTGCCCATTGAGTCTGAAGCTCCCCTGGTCCTGGCAGCATCAACCCCCCAGATCTCACAGGTGAGCGGGGAGGGGGAGCTCGCCCCAAATCCATCGGGGGATCTCTGGGAGGGTTTGTTCGCAGGGGAGGGGATGTTTGGGTCTTGCAGGGCCCCAAAAGTGGGATGCAGATGCCTCTTTGGAGAATTGTGGAGGGTTCCTGTGGCAAACTGGCTGTAGTGGCTGGGGCAGTGGTACCAGTTGAGGGGGGACATTGATTTTGGGGCTCTGATTGGCATCAGAGTGAGGAGAGCAGCAAAGGTCAGTCCTGGAGCTGGGGGATCCCGGCAGCCTGGAGGGGTGGGGGAGGCTGGAGATGAGCAGGGTCTGGGCCCATCCGACTGTGAACAGGGGGGTTACTTCTCGAGCTTGGGAAGCAGGACCAAGGGTCTCACCTGTTGTTTTTCCCCCAAGCCAGGATTTGTCAATCCCAAACTTTGTCTGGATGGAGATGGAGGAGGCTGCGAGGAAAAGGAACATGGCATGGGACATGAGGCAGGTGAGGAGGAAGTCACTGCCACTTTCCCCCTCTCCTCTGCTCCATGTCTCAGACCAACATTTCCCCTGGCTGCAGGACAACCCCACTACCAATGCTGTCCTGCCAGCTGGGAGGGATCTCCTTCCCCTTCCCTCTGGCACAGAGGCAAATCCCATCCTGTCCTTGTACACAGCTTCTTTCCTTTCTCATTCTGTCCTTCTTCCTTCTTCATTCCTTCCTCTCCCTTTCTTTCCTTTTCTTACCCCAGGCACTGAGCTGCTGTCAGAGACCAGGGAGAGCAAATTCCTGCTGCAGAACCTCATGGAAGAGGCCATTTTGAGCAGCTCTATGGCATGGGAATCCAATGGGGAGGATAAGCCCTGGAGATCCCATATAAGGAGGAATTGCAAACGCAACCCTGGCAGCTGTGAGGAGGAAAGATGCCCCCTGTGTCCAGAAGGCAGCTGGAGATCCATTTGGAACTCAGAGGTGGTGGAGACAGCTCATGGCTGGCAGAAACCCCACAAGTGCTTGGAATGTGGGAAGGGCTTCAGCCAGAGCTCTGGAGTTCAGATGTGATCTGGCTGCAGGTGATCTACATGGGGAAACGGCCCTACAAATGTGGGGAGTGTGGGAAGGGCTTTGGGTGGAGCTCCAACCTCGTCCATCACTGCAAGATCCACATTGGGGAGAGGCCCTATGAGTGTCCTGAGTGTAGAAGTGGTTTCTGAGCAGCTGCAATCTCATCATAATGAGTCAAAGGGTCAGCTGGAAATGTATTTACAATAATTGAAAACTGTGGATGAATCAAGGGGCCAGCTGGGAGTATAAGTGAGATAGTAGAAGATTACATATTTTAGCTAAGATTTTAAAATTAGTTAAGAAGCTAAGTTAACTGGCAAAAATCACATACCTTAGTGAAAGAGTAACAAATATATTAGAAAGTAAAGCTAGGAGTGACAGGGATAGATGTAGCAATTGTGAAGGAGCTGAGTCCATAGAAATATCTTGCCTTAAGAATAATCAAACAGTTAGGAGAGGCTTGGATTGTGATCAGCAGATCAAAAAGTCCTGTCAACTGGCCATGGGGGAAGAGTTTACCATGAGAAAGAGAGCTTTCTTCTTCCCATACGCCCACTCCCTTATTTCAAAATCCCACTGACCCAATTAAGGGAGTGCAAGTGCGCAGCCATATTAGGTATTCAGCTGATTATAATACAAAGTGGGCAGGTAATGATTATGTACTATACCTCCTTAGAAACTGCTTGGATATGTAAAACCTTTCCTGTATAAATAGAGAGCAGGAGTCTGCAACTCCTTGCACCTGCATTTGGAAGTGATTCCTCATATGTCCAGAACTGCAATAAAATACCCTTCTTTTCAACTTTAATTAGTTGAAGAGTTGTCTGTCCGTGCTTCAGTGCATCAGCAGATTCACACAGAGGAGAGGCCCTTCCACTGCCCCGACTGCAGGAAGGGCTTCAGGCACAACTCCACCCTCGTCACCCACAGGCACATTCACACTGGGGAGAGGCCCAATGAGTGTCCTGTGTCTGGGAAGAGATTCTCCAGAAGCTCTCACTTGAGCCAACACAAATAGGGGCACCATTCGGGGAAGCCCTGTGAGTGTCCCCAGTCCCGGTGTCACCCCCTTTTCTCTGCCCACAGAGCTCCTGAGCTGGTGGCGGCCACAGCCCCTTCCCATGGCCTTGCACCTGGCTGAGACCTCCTGTGACTGGGCAGGGAGGATTGTGGTGTGACTGGGCAGGGAGGGTGTGGGCCAGGTGGGGAACACTGGGTGCTGTGGGTCTGCCCAGCAAGTGGTGAGTCATCAGACCTGCTCTCTCTGATTGGCTGACTCTTGTTCATCAAATTCTCCGATTGGCTGTGGAGAGGCCTCGGCACTGAGAAAAGGAATGGGAGAGATCCCACCCTGAGGACTGGCACAGGGACACCAGACCCAGCCTGGGCACAGGGAGTGAATTTATTACCAACCAAATCACAGCAGCACAGGAAGAATAGAAAAAAATCTCTCCAACACCTGCCCCACACCCAACGGGGATCATCCAGAACAGGGCTTATCGACGATGAAGAGACGGGGACATCTGAGTTTAGATCAGAAGCCAATTTTATTGAGTGTACCAGGGGTTTATATAAGGTTTGACTTGTATGGTGCTTATATAGGGCTCTATTTTTGGTAACAATTTCCCACTGGTTACGCATTCTTCAGGACATCAGGTCACCTGTTAACATTATCTTATCACTAAGTCTCACAATATTTTTCTTGGTCACTTCTTGCCCTGGGAACTTTTATCTGTGTCTGTCTTTCCCATGGTTTCTGCTTGATCAGGCCTCAGATAACAGGCCCCTTTATATGTTCCACTGTACTCTCTGTTTTATTCCCCATACATCCCCCTATCTGTTCAAACAAAAATACACTCTTAGGTGACTTGTCTATTAATTTTTTCACACACTGTAAAATACAAAGAATAAGCATAACAATACATCATACAATGCCTAATACATATAAGGCTATTTTAACGAAATTTGTTATCCATCCACCAAGTTTCCAGTCCCCCCGAAGTTTTCCTAGCCCTGTAAACCCTGATACCACTGGGTAACCTTAACCATTCTCCCAAGGGCATAAGTCTGTTAGAGGTTAAACAGGTGCTGATGTCTTGTTGGGGTCCTGTTCACAAGGGTTCTCCGCTAGTGTTGGTGTTCAAGGTGAATCGTCAGGGCATGCACTCAAAGATTCTCAAAACAGCTTCACATTCTTTGCTGGAATCCACTTGGGACCATTCTCTGTGGAGACACAAGCAAAACCTCTACCCCAGGTTGTGGATACTGACAGCCTGGTCAGAGAGAGAAAGCCAGATAAACTTTCCCAGGAATTGTTCTGGGGAGTTTTGAGAAGGCTAACAGAAATAATTAAAACAATGTTGCAGCTGGTGTTTTGAACAGTTGTTTTCTCATAAGATATTTACTAAAGTGTGTTTCCTTAAGTAGCCAATCATGTGAAGTGTATTGATTAAAGGATCAATCAGGTCCACCTGTGTCAGAACAGTGTATAAAAAGGAATGGGTTTCTAATAAAATAATTATTAGTCTCCTGAAGAGAGTTAGACTTCATGTGTCACCTGCTTCCTGTTCCTGACTCAATGGTGAGACCAGATGAACGAAGGATAAGGCCCCAGTATCTTACCATATTCTGGATCCTTCATTAAGGCTGGGTATTTTTTCCCTTTTGTTGCAATTGTGAATTACAATTAAAATGTCAAATAATCGGTAGGTTGGGGTTCATTAAAGAACAATTCAAAAATTTTAAAACATGAAGGGCTTTCTGCAGTCTCTTGGCAGGGGTGCCATCTCCGGCCCCCCCTTTCTGTTGTACCAGGAGATGCTCGAGGGAGCCATGAGCCCGTTCAGTGACAGATTGGCCTGTTGGGGAATGAGCAATACCTGTTTTGTGCATAATTCCCTGTGGAAGTCATATTTTCTGGAAAAATGCCTTGGCCCAGGATTCTTCTCCTGGGAAGCTGAGAAGCCTCAGAGAAAAAGGAAAACAACATTATCTCATTGCTTCTTCTGTGTTTTGCTGCTTTGGAATGTATTTGGAGATTGTTTATCCAACAGGTGGTTGTTACATTGGTTTCATGTGAATTGTTTTGACTTAATGACCAATCACGGTCAAGCTGTGTCAGGACTCTGGAAGGAGTCACGAGTTTTTCATTAGTATCTTTTAGCCTTCTGTAAGTCTCCTTTCTGTATTCTTTAGTGTAGTTTAATATAGTTTTAGTACAGCATAATATAATATAATATAATATAATATAATATAATATAATATAATATAATATAATATAATTAATATAATGGAATAGAATAGCCTCCTAAGAACATGGAGGCCAATTCATCATTCCTTCCTTGGTCTGGGAACCCCACAAATATAAGAATTCCCCATAAGGCAATAAAGGTAGCAACTTGACAGGAAGTATGAGCTGGGCCATCGCCTGTCTTTACTTCAGATGGTATACCAAGCATTGCAAAAGCAACAACGTGTCTAGAGACATCTTAAGCTGTTTTCCCTGAATGGGCAGATGCAAAAAGAGCACCAGAAAAGGTATCAAAAGAGGAATTAATGTATTTTAACTGCCCAAATGCAGAAAAATGGGTAATGTCTGATGCCAGACTTGAAGGCTCTGAAACCCTCTGGGAATAATATTTCCTACAACAGAGAGAAAAGAATACTTTTGGTAATCAAGACAAACAGCAATAATTCTTGAAGCTTGGACTTTACTAATGCCAAAGTGCCAAATCAAAGTGACACCATTTTGGTGAAAATATGAATGGCTCAATTTAGCCTGTTCTATCTTTTTAGGTAGAACAGATTCTCATACAGGCATTGTTAAAAGGTCAGCTTGCCTGTTCCTTTCAGCTAAAAATCTGGGAAGGTCTGTACGCAATCAAATATGAATAACAAAGTAAGGAAACGTTCTATTTTCTAAGGAAAAAACAAGGAGCTGCAACCAATAAAAAAGTTGTCAGTTTTCAACCTCCTTCAAAACTGATGCTTCAGCTCTCATCACAATTCCTACAACTTCAGCTGAATCTGTAACCAGATTAAAGGAACAGAAAACTTTTGAAAAGCTCTGACAACAGCAGCAAGTTCAACAGTTTGGGGGGACCCCTGAGCTGTGGATACATCTGCTCTCCAGGCACTAGAAGAGGGGTCTCTCCATACTACCACTGATTTCTGAGAGTGACCAGAACCATCTGTAAATACTGCTAAGCCTTGAAGTGGAACCTCACTCCTCTTGGGTTTCTCTGTCAATTGAAAAAACCATAAAAGCTTAAAAAAGCTTTTAAAAGATGTTAAAACAGCTCATGTTTTGCAGGATGTATTGAGATTTGTCCACTGAATTCAGCAAAGGATATCTGAAGAGCCTCTGATTCCTGAAATACCCAATTCAAATAAAAGGTGGTTAAAGGTAGGAAAGTAGTGGGAAATTCCACTCCTGCAAGAGAAATGAGTCTTTGTCACACCTTAACAACCACTTGGGCCATCATTTCATGTTGGGTACTAATGGTTTTAGTCATTTGGTCTGGTAAATAAATCCATTCAGCGATAAACAAAGAGTCTGGTGCCTTGGGGTCCCATTGAACCATCAAGGCATGGGGCTGTTTTGCTGGATGCAAGGTTATTTTAAAAAAAGGCAGCTCAGGTGCCCAGTGTGCAGCTTGTTGGCTTACTAAGACAACAGTCGGGCATTGCAGTGCCTGGTGAACATGATATCTAGGTTGTCTAACTGATAAAAGATCTTTATCTCCTTTTAACTATTGAAACAAAGGACTTTTTGCTTTGTATTTGAAATCCCTAGCAAGGAGTGCACCCAGTTGATTGTTTCCAGAAGTTTTTGCGCATCATGTAAGGTGCAAATATTTGTCTGAATTTGCAGAGCCAGAGGAGAAATTGAATAGACTCCAACGCACCACCCCAAATACCTCCACAGAGGATGTTTTTGTACCTTTTTGGGAGCTATGCAAAGCCCTGCCTGATTTACAGCTTTGGTGACAAGGGCTAACTTGGGCTTTCTCCGTGACTTCCTGTTGTTCAGCTGCTACAAGAATTTCATCCATAGAATGGTACAAAAGAACACTGGGCATTTGTTGATGAACAGAACTGAGGACCTAGCAATAAACCACTGGCAAATAGTACAGCTGTTTTTCTTGCCCTGAGGTAAAACTATCCAGTGATATCACTGTAAGGCCACCTGCATGTTTGCACTTGGAACTGAAAAGGAAAATTTAGGACCATCATCAGGATGCAAAGGAATGTTAAAAAAAACAATCTTTTAAATCTATAACTGTCAAGTGCCAAGTTTGGGGAATCATGGTAGGAGATGGGAGACCAGGCTGTATGGCCTCTATGACCTTCATAGCTACATTTTTCAAAGGTCATGGAGTAAATTCCATTTGCCAGTTTGTTTTTTGGTAACAAACATGGGAGAATTCCAAGGACGAGTGGAAGGGACAGTATGCCCTTTCTGGAGCTGTTGTTGGACCAACTCCTTTAATGCACAATATTTTTGTAATGGTAGGGGCCATTGATCCAGCCAAACTGGTTTCTCTGTTTTCCAGGTTAGTTTTAAAGTGTCGCGCTTCAATGGACTCCATTAAAAATCTGATAGAATTCCAAAGCCCTATTGGGGGAGGACATCCCCCACCATAGTACTGTTGGCATTGGTAATACAAACAGTATGACTGAGGCACAGTGTCCCTCGGGGCCTTTGATCTGTATCAAGTGGTGGTTTGACAGCTGCAGTTGCTTCCTCCAATGCCTGCAGATGCCTGGAGCACTTCAGCAAGGGACCACTGTGAGGGCCATTTGGCTTGAGAGATAACTGTAACTTCAGCCCCTGTGTCTATGAGGCTGTCAAGTGTTATCTTTTGTCCTTTTGGTGTCAGAGTACACCAGCATGTGGGGCACTGTTCTAATATAGGTTTTACCCAGCATACTTGGGGTGTTGCAGTAGACCCAAATCC